TTTTTTTAATCATTTTACATGACCACACATCTAGTAGTGATCAGCACTATTAAAACATAAGTATTCATCCAAACTTAAGATAAAATTAGGAATATTGCTGTCATATTTTAGTCTACTGGTTACAAAGATGTAAATTCACGGTCATTGGCGGCCATTTTGAATTTTGAAAGCCATACTGTAATCCAAATTAAGTCAAGTAATTGAAAAGGGTTCTGTTTTTATATTCAGTGCACCAAAAGTAATGAAGAACTTAATTTGGGATGATAAATTTGTCATATTTCCAGACAGGACAGCTACATGTAAAAGACTTGTTTTGTGGCAGCCATGTTGGACTTCAGGATTTTTCATCTCAATAAAAAGATTGCACCTTGAACAAACACCACAGGCAGAAAGTAGAGATTCCATGCTTCACTGGTGCATCAAAATATCTCAGATATTGCAATTCTTTAATAATTAAATAAGAATTAAAATATTAAAAATTATCAAAATTTCTTAAAAAACAGCAAAAATTGGCCGCCATCTTGGATTTGCCGCCATCTTGGAAAATTTTGTTCATCGTTAGGTATAGTGCACATCTTAGACTATATGTCTAGAACGATTTTGAATTCTATTTAGTTTATGTATTTGAAATATTTTAGATTTTGTTGGGCTCAGAAATGTCAATTTTTAACCCGTGTGTTACCATGGCAACGGCTGTAGCACACACACCCACCACCAGTTTAATGGCAAACAAGCAGAAAATAAAAGCTAAGGACCTAAACTATCAGAAAAAAATAGTGAACGAAAATCACTAAGGGGGGGGGGGGGGGGGTTCGGTATTTGGCCCACGGACTATCAGTGCCACAATACAAGCAACATTCTGCTGTAAAAACTTATTTTCGTGGAGCCATTGCCCCGCCCTTATAGTNAATACATTAGTATTTCAACTCAAAAGTATTCTTTCTTTAATTAAATAAGAATTAAAATATTAAAAATTATCAAAATTTCTTGAAAAACAGCCAAAATTGGCCGCCATCTTGGATTTGCCGCCATCTTGGAAAATTTTGTTCATCGTTAGGTATAGTGCACATCTTAGACTATATGTCTAGAACGATTTTGAATTCTATTTAGTTTATGTATTTGAAATATTTTAGATTTTGTTGGGCTCAGAAATGTCAATTTTTAACCCGTGTGTTACCATGGCAACGGCTGTAGCACACACACCCACCACCAGTTTAATGGCAAACAAGCAGAAAATAAAAGCTAAGGACCTAAGCTATCAGAAAAAAATAGTGAACGAAAATCACTAAGGGGGGGGAGGGTTTCGGTATTTGGCCCACGGACTATCAGTGCCACAATACAAGCAACATTCTGCTGTAAAAACTTATTTTCGTGTAGCCATTGCGCAGCCCTTATAGTGGTATCGGGCATACAGTGTAGCTGTAGCTATTTTGGTCTGATGACATTCAACTGCATTTTCACTGCGGAGCAATTCTATTTGATTGATGGAAAACTTTCATGGCCGCTGGTCTTCAGAGTTAGTAAAAGCGACTCCGCCACAAGGTATATTTCGCAAGCTAGCTTTTACGTTGCTCTGACGCTCAGGGTATGTCGGACCAACAGTTTCAGCATGTCTGCACATACTAGTAGTACTCTGTTAACTGTACATGTATGTTTGTTATGATCAATAATAGCCAAGTAGATCCAAAACTCTAATTATCAGTTTTTGGATAAATGCTGTTTCATGATATCAAAAGTTTGAGAAACGACTTGTTTTTTGTCCAGACCGGTAAAAAATTGGACTTGGTCGGTACAAAGGACCGATAAGTGTTTTAAGAACCACAATTTTGAATTTACAGTCATCATTCGACATAAATTATATAAAACCCAAAGCGTTTTCCCCTCCATTTTAAACCTATCACATTCACAAACAAAGTAAGCTTCCCAATCTTACTGACAGTATCTGTCTCAAACGAATAGGGTGTTTTTTGGTCCAACAAATATCCATTTGGTCTAGCAAATTTTTCATTACTGCCGATCCAAATGTCCGACCATTCTGAAAAGTTTTCAGCATGTCTGATGTGGTCAACTATCACCGTTTTTGAGTCATTCACGCAACCTCCATCACAAACTTAAATAAATTTCAAATCTTCAGGAATTTTGTAACGGAAAAACACTAAACAAGATAATGAAGAAAATCAGTTCATTCTAACAATTATCGGTAGTTTTGTAGTATACCCCCCCACCCTGTAACTTTCACTTTTCAAACAGTTTTTTACATTTTCTTGTTCATCTATGTCAAAGCTGTTGAAATAAAATGCTTTTGTAATTACCTGTGGACTTTTTATTAGTTTTAATCACGTTTAATCCAGCCCATTACAAAAGTACCCAAATATCTATATCTACAAATTGAAAATTTTTGACGCGAAAATCTCTTAAATTGTGGCCTCTATCACCGGACGACCACGAACTCACACACAATCGCACAATCAGGCAAATAAGCTGAGCAGTAGACTTACAAAAATCTTTCGCAAATAATAAACACGTATATGCTGCTTACCATTAAAGCCAGAATCTTCGTGTCGTCTGGGAATTGGAAATGCACCGGAAACGCATCTGCGCAGACTCGGACTCCTTCTTGAGGAGAGTTGAGATAAACAAACAGTCGGGTTTACAAACAGAAATGCCCCACCCCATTAATGCTAGAAACTCTAATTCCCATTGATTTGTAAAGGTCAGCCCCGTCCTAGATTTTGAACCAATTGGCCACGCTTACACCATTTATCTGCACCAATATATTGACACCGCCACCAACCTGACAATTAAAGAATAAATTTTACACTATTGCCGCAGATTGACGACAATACCGGTTATGCAATCATCTTACTTAAATGACCTGGACCAATCGCAACGCTTTACACACACCGAAATTGCGACAAATTCCAGTAATTAGAGCGATGGGGGGGGGGGGGGGGGATGCTGTCGAAATCGGCTCTAGTCCCTTTGTAGTACTTTAAAAATACTGAAATTGGCCAGGAATAGCACAATAGGTGTGTCGCGATCGGTCAGGCTCAACTACCACAATTGGAAAAAAGAAGATGTTAAAATAGGCTCTAGCCCCTGCAGCGGCTACCGGGTGTTGACTCTGGCTGGGTAGCTCAGTTGGTAGAGCAATGGCTCGGTAAGCAAGAGTCCCAGGTTCGAATCCCAGAGGGAACCTGGGGTTTTTCTCCCAGTCTATCGATTGGTCCAGCTCAACTACCACAATCGGAATGTCGATGCTGTTGAAGTCCCTTTGTAGTACTTGAAAAAATGCTGGAATTGGTCAGGACAAGCGCAATCTGTTTATTGCGATTGGTAAGGCTCAACTACCACAATCGGAATGTCGATGCTGTCAAAATCTGCTCTGGTCCATTTGTAGTACTTTAAAAAATGCTGGAATTGGTCAGGACTACTGCAATTTGTAAGTTGTGATTGGTTAGGCTCAACTACCACAATCGGAATGTCGATGCTTTAGAAATCTGCTCTAGTCCCTTTGTAGTACTTTTAAAGATGCTGGAATTGGTCCAGTAAGGGGAATCGTTGTGTTGCGATCGGTCAGGCTCAACTACCACAATGGGAATGTCGATGCTGTCGAAATCGGCTCTAGTCTCTTTGTAGTACTTTAAAAATGCTGGAATTGGTCAGGACTAGCGCAATCAGTGTGTCACGATCGGTCAGGCTCAACTACCACAATCGGAATATCGATGCTGTCGAAATTGGCTCTAGCCCCTGTAGCAGCTGCTGGATTTTGACTCTGGCTCAGTAGCTCAGTTGGTAGAGCAGTGGCTTGGTGTGCAAGAGTCCCATGTTCGAATCCCAGAGGGAGCCAAGGGTTTTTCTAGCAGCCTAGCAAATGGTCCAGCTCAACTACCACAATCGTAATGTCGATGCTGACAAAATCTGCTCTAGTCGCGATTGGTCCAGCTCAACTACCACAATCGGAGTGTCGATACTGTCGAAATCGGCTCTAGTCCCTATGTAGTACTTTAAAAAATGCTGGAAAAATCAGGACTAGTGCAATCTGTTTGTTGCGTTTGGTTAGGCTCAACTACCACAATTGGAATGTCGATGCTGTCGAAATCTGCTCTGGTCCATTTGTAGTACTTTAAAAAATGCTGGAATTGGTCAGGATTACTGCAATTAGTAAGTTGCGATTGGTTAGGCTCAACTACCACAATCGGATTGTCGATGCTGTCGAAATCTGCTCTAGTCCCTATGTAGCACTTTAAAAA